CCTCAGGCCTCCGTGGAAAGCATCCTGCCCTGAGCCATCTAGCAAGGGAGTGGCAGGCGGTGGCAAAAACCCGGGTCTCTTGGTTTCCAAGTTCCCAAGCTAGGGATTTCCCCTCTGCCCTGGGACCTCTCTCCCACGGTCCAGGGTCTCCTGGGAGGGGAGGGGCAGAGATGAGTGTGTCCCAGGAAGGAGGTTGAGCATGGGGACAACATGCAGCTGAGCTCAGTCTTCAGATCTCTTGGAACTGATGGGAAGTGTGGCAGGAAGGGTAGGGAGGCCATGCGAGTGTCCCAACCAGGAATATTCAGGTAATTGCTGTGTTTGGCTCCCTGCTGCCCACCAAGTAAAGTCTAGATCCTTTAGCTCTCTGCCCTGTGGCCCCGGCCTGTCTCCCTTCTCCTGCTAGGACCTCTCTCCCAGCTGCCCAGCCTTTTCTGGTCCCAGTACATGCCACCATCCTTGTGACTCCAGGCTTTGCTTTTGCTGTCCCCTTTGCCCAGATTAGCTTCACCCCACTCTGCTTGCTTCTGTTTAATTTTTCTCAGCTTCCTGTTGCTCAGCTCAGATTCCAGCCCACTTGCGAAATGTTCCCCCGTGCTCTCCCCACCCTTCAAGTAGAGTCACTTTGCCCCTAGAGCAGTGCACCACCTGTTTAGCAGAGTGGGGCCTCACGGTGTTGTCACTGATGGGCTTGCCTTGCCATGAGGTTGGGTACCATGTCTGGTCAGAGTTGTGTGTCTTGCCCAGAATCAGGTGCTCGGTAAATGGCTTTGGGTGAATGAATAGACAGATGGGTGACAGATAGATGGAGAGTTGGCTGGATTGATGGATAGACAGATGGATACATGTCAGGCTGGCTGGATAGGATGGCTGGATGGATGTGTGTATGGATGATGGACAGATGGAGTGGATGGGTGGGTGGGTAGATGGATGGATGGAGATATGGATATATAGGTAGATGGATGGGTGGAGATATGGATATATGGGTGGATGGGTAGGTAGATGGATGGATAGATGGGTGGAGATACGGATATATGGGTGGATGGGTGGGTAGAT